CTCCTGCGGCGCCTCGGCTCCTCGGGCCCGGCGCCCTGGCCCGCGGGGGAGCGCCGTCCCGAGGGCGGGGGACTCGTGGGGTCAAAGGGCCGGTGCGGCCTTTGTGGCGGAGGCGCTGGCGAAGCTGGATGGTGTTCTTGGTCATTGCTGTTAGTTCCCCTTGGGACGCCTCCGGGTCGCTGCGAGAGGGATTTGTAAGGGAAGCTGAGAGCCTTGGGCCCTTTTTCCCTGTGTGAAATGGGTTCACTCTCGGAGTTGTCGCTCGGGATGAATACGTTTTGATGTTACGCAAGTATTGTGTTCCAGGCTTAGAGGTGCTTTGGCATCGCAGTAGATTATTTCACCCATGGAGTGAGTTTGGCCATATGGAAAACCTTGTGTAACCATCACCAGTTCTTCAATGCCTGGCGCTGAGTTTGTCCCCTTGCGAGGGAGCCGTTTTTCCAGGGTGTCGGTATTACTCCGAATTTTGGTCACTGCCTTACGGATATGATATTTGTAATGGATTATATTGATCGTTCTAGTTAGCCGTAATTTTAACTCGAGAATTGATGTTTTCTGGCCCTCTCCGTGAGTTTTCAGGGTTTGTTTTTAGATAGAGTAAAACCGTCATTTTCCAGAATAAAATTACGCCAACTGATGTAGTTTCTCTCTGTATCATGCTCCGGCAAAGGCCAACGAATACTTCTGTACATATGGTGTAGTAAGGTGGAGCTTGGACCCATTCTTTGTGAATGAAAAATCGCGAGGGAGATTTGCAAGGTTGTGCCTCACAAGAATGTACATGTTGGAGGTTTTTGACTTGTGCTGGAGTGCAGTGCACAAGGCCAGAGCAGAGAGTGACACAGCGATGGGCACTTGTAGGGTTGTTTATTTATTTATTTATTTTCATATATAATTATATATATATATATATATATATATATATATATATATATATATATATATATATATATATATATATATATATATATATATATATGTTATACATTTTTTGAGTCTGAAAATAGTTACCTTATTGGTGGTCAGCATTAACCAGCAAAAACATATGTGCTATGGTAAAAGCAACACACCTGCTACATATTCTGTCAAGATCAAGTTTGAACTAGTTTCTTATTTGGTAAGGAAAGAACATCAAGGTTTAACCTGTCAATGACGGTTTCAGAAATCTCTCGGCATCACTGACTCGGGTGATATCTGGCAATTGTCTTGCCGTTTGGCCCAGGAGTCAACTAAATGTATCAGAACTTTCCACTTGATTCACTCTAGTTCTTCACGACCTGGCGTGACAAGTCGGTTTGTTATGACAGCCATGGGCGTGGCCTGGCAGATGTGGATGAAGTTCTTCTTGCTGAAATAGATATGGTGGAAGCTTGTTAGTCCTTCCCTTGGTAATCGCTTGAGGCCCTTATTGATGTATGAAGTTATGTATGGATGCACTAAGTTAGAGCAAATTGAAGATATTCTTGTAGAGGGAAAAAAGTTGAAGTCATTGGTACAAGAAATAATCTGCAGACACAAATGGCAATGCCACAAATAAAGGAGAAAGATGGCAGAAAGCACTGCTTGCTGCTCAAGTGTACTCAGTGCTCCCGAGTTTCAGCACGATCTAGTTGTGCTTCCGAGGTGAAGACCATGTTTCCTGGGAGGTGTTGGGGGGGTAGAGCCCCCATCAACCCTTCCCACAGAAAGTTGGACACGCTTAGTCACTGAACATAGATTGTTGAATAAATTTTGTAACGTGGCAGTGGGGAGTGCATCCATACTGTAAAGAGTTACTGTAAAGGAAAAATGTTTTTACTGAGAATGTTTTCAGTCATATGAGGAGTTGAGAGAGGTTTGGAAATTAATGTATATTGCAAGGATATGAACCTATTATTTAAATCTCAAAAGTTGAGCAAACTCAATGTACCCAAAGTAATCCGTATTATTTGTAAAACAAACGAAAACAAAAGTAAATCTAATAAGTATAGCATACTTATATAAACATGTACTATATCCTATAGGCTTCTGAGAGTTTTATGATTTATGCTGTGACAAAGTCAGAAACCGTTAATGAAAGTCGTACAAAGTAGTCGGATTCCAATGGTAAAAGGCATGTCTTAGTGTAAACGGCAAATACACAATTTTTGTTGTCACTTGCTTTGTGTATTATTGTTAAAATGATGAGCAAAAGAAGTGAGGATGCAATAACAGGGGCACAGGCTACAGGCATTTCCACAAACATTCTAGACTTTAAGTTCGTCAGAATTCTTTACTCTTTTGTGTGGGTCCTGTGTGGCATGCTCTGCACTCAGAAGATGTAAAGGTAGACTGCATCACCTTCAAGTAGAGACTGGATAGAAGTTGGGCAGATATCCAACTTAATGTATTAACACTGCTACCCTTCCAACCTGTTGAGCTCAACAATAGTGTAAAGATAGATCCAGAGCTGGAAGTGCAGGCTCCATAGAAGCCTCAATCTGGAGTCAGTTACGTATATCTATGTATGTATTAGGCT